GGTGAATATTGGAGGAGAAAGGATCAAGAACTCGCCTCAGAATGTAGAGATACTCGATGTGAAGGAGTTGTTCAAACCTGTAAAAACCTTTGGAGAAAAGGGAAGTGGTAGAGGACAGTTGAATGCTCCATGTTCGATAGCAGTCAGTGATAATGGAGAGATAGCCATTGCTGAATGGGGTAACCACCGTATTCAAATATTCAGTCTTGAAGAAAACTATTTAAGAAAGTTTGGCAGGGAAGGAACAAGACAAGGTCAGCTGTTATATCCATTTGGAGTGGTGTTTAATGGTGTCCAGATGGTAAAGGCAGGATACAAGAGTTTAACTTGAAGGGTACTTATGTAAGAACCATCTACAGACATGACCGAGGGCTGCTTGGAATTTGTGTTAACGATGATAAAAACATCGCAGTGTGTTGTTGGGGAAAACAAGAACTGGGTATCAAACCAAGTATCAAGGTGTTCAGTAAACAAGGACATTTAGTTCATGAGTTTGATATGCCTGATAATAATGAACAGCCTGAGTGCATCACCTATGGTAACGGCAAATACTTTGTATCTTATTATGACATAAACTATGTTCGTGTTTTTGATGTGAATGGAGTTTTCTTGTACAAGTTTGGAGAAGAGCGAGAAAGAGACGGTCAGTTTAATGGTGTACGTGGACTAGCTGTTTATGGTCCAGACATGATTCTTGTCTGTGATAGTTATAATCACCGTGTTCAACTTTTCACACAAGAAGGTCAGTTTATAAGGTCATTTGGTAGCTATGGTTCAGGTGTTGGTCAGATGGATAGTCCTATTGATGTAGTAGTTACAGCTGATGGTCGAGTGTTTGTGGTAGAATTTTGGGGTAATAGAGTTTTTGTTTGGTGTTAATAGATATCAACCATTTAACACTTCTACACTTCTATACCTCCCATATAGTACGGTATAACCCTAATAAGTCTTTTACTATTATTTCCATGAAAACTTTGAGAAAAACATTGATTTTATCGTCATCATTGATGAGTAAACTCAAAATGAGTATAATTTTCTTAGTTTTGTAGATTGTCTTTGTTTTTCCAAATAGACATAGAGAAATTTGTTTCTTTTATTATTTATTTTTCATGGGTTAAGAAAAAAAAACAAAAAACTAAGCGGCTTAAGAGGCTGTCCTTGTAAGAACCTCATAACCATTTTAGGTGAAAAAACAGATTTCTTTCAAACTTTGTGTGTGAGTGTGCCCTTCCAACACATTTTGTTTTGTGTCTCGGCGCTTTTTTGCAAAGTTTCAAGGGGGGGGGGGTCCCCTTGGGGGCCAAATTAGTGATTTTGAATACTTCTCATTCATGAAATTTGGGTGATGTTTAAAAATTCGTAAATCCATAACAAATCATCACAACACTAAATCCTTCCATATTATAGTAGA